GGTGGTATGCGCAGCGATTGTAAAAAATAAAAACTACAAACACCGCGGTTAATGTGCTGTTGTGTCAAAATTAACAATCCGAGAAATCTTGTTTTTCCTATGCAAGTCTAACTTTATAAGCTCCTGGTAATAATATAATTGTTCGGCTGTTGCACCCGCCGTAGTACATTTTTGGACTGTTGTCCTGACGAACTATGTTCAGGACGTTTTTTGTCATAGTTTTTCAATATGTCAATGCTAATTATTCCGTATTAATCGTTATTTTATTTGATTATATATTAAATATTTTTTTAGTTTTAACACGCAGGTTAAATTTTAATTTATTTTTGAATAAAATACATTTGTTGATAAAAATATTCGTTATAGATGATGACAGTGGTTGCGATTGTATTCATGAAAAATAATAACCACAAGAATTGATACCGGTGATCGTACATCTTTAAGATATACGGGTATATTTGAAAAAATTAAAAATATAGGCCGTAATTGTGAAAAATTAACAAAAAAAAAACAAAAAATTATAACAATAAATATTACTATTTCAATGTAAATACTGAAATTATTTTATCCTATTTTTTTTTTTATTTTTTTGAATACGGTCACCCATTTGTAGACTCGTGTTCGTATTTATTTTTGATAAAATCTCCCGATGTATACGATTCGAGCCGTGCTAAAATATTAGAAAAACCGACGACAAAATACGAGGACGTGCTCATCGTCGGTTTTATTTTTGTCGATTACCGGATCGCGGTCTCCTCGACCGCAGTCGTGGACGGCCGGAGCCAATACCTACTTTTATACACTTACCGGTTTCGGTGCGAGCCTCTCCGCTCAGAATCGGTTTTTTTCTTTTTTTAAAATTATTATCGCAACGATTTATCGCTTTCGCGCCCACAACGGTGACGCGACGGCGTCCGTACGGCGCGAATAAGCGTGTCCGGCTTCTTTATTCGTTTTTTTTTTTTTTCTAATCCGAGGAATGCGAATTTTTCGGCACACTACCGGTCCCCTCCGCCGCGAACACGTTCGCGCGTTTCTCCGGGACGGCGGCGGCAGACCCGCTTTATACGTCCGCGACCGCTTCCACCGTCTTTTCTATGTCTCACTGTATCTCTCTCTCTCTCTCTCTCTCTCGTTTTGTAGACCTACAACGCAGGTACGGACTGCGGAGGAGCCGTCGTCCGTATCCGGCTTCCTCGGCGTCGTCGAAATGAAGACAACCGCGGCGTGCACAATGCGCGCGTACACAGCCGTGACGAGACTCGTGTCGTTATTAGTGGGTCAACGCGCTACTGACTGCGCGACGAGGTAAAAGTGGTTTTTTTTTTTTTTTCTTTCCTTTTTGTTCCCGCTTCACGTCCGACACCACGACTAAGGACGACGACGACGACGACAACAACAACAACAACAACAACAGCAACAACGATATCCGCGTATCGTTTATGTTGCACGCCCCACTGTACGCGCACGCTCTCGCGTAAACCGTATAGTCGTACCCGTCCGTATTACATGGGTACGCGTTTCGAATGGATTTTCGTTTTCGTTTTTTCGCCTAAATGTTTTTTTTTTCGCGCCCACGTCGCAAACAAAATAACCGGGGTCCGGATCACGAACGAAAACGCGATTAAAATCAAAGCAGAAAATATTACGCGAAAACTATTGTGTTAAAGGCAAATAATGTGTACAACGTAATAATAGCTCGGAAGCTATATGACGTGTATGCCAAGAGTCGGATAAAACTGTGAAAAAACTATTCAAAATAGTGAGCTCTCGTGACATTTTAAAAACCTGGCGCCCACGTCGCCCGGTCACGCTAGGGCGCAGACAGAGCGATCGCGATGAAATCGTGAAGTACATTTGATTTTACCGATATTCGTTTGGAAAACCTTCGGAAGAAGCAAACACGCTTTTAAATTTCGTCATGTATTTGAAGCCGACATAGCGTCACAAGCGATTGTCACGTATAGCTGCTGCACTCTGCCAACACATTTTACAAGCCAAAACGCAGAATAAACCGAGCGAATAATAACAAGAGCCCCCGAGCCCTAAAAATAATAATGATAATAACAACAGCAACAACAATATAATATTTTGTTTTCTCTCGTCGTCCTTGCCGCCTGGTTGACGAGGGAGACGGGGGAGGGGGGAGAGTGACGAATGGGGGCACGCCGCTACTCGGCAGCGCCGTCGTCGATAGGGGGGGACCTAAACCCCCACCTGCACCCGGTGCAGCGTGCGTATACGCCGCGTGTATTCAGTCGCGTCGTCGAATCTCGGCGTAAGGAATGCGCCCAAGGACTCTCCGGGGCCCGCCACGCCAGCTGCTCATGGCGCGCACGCGGATTCGGCACGGACCGACGAAGAAACGCGCAACCGACCGAATCGGGGTCACCGGCGCGCTGTTGTGTTTTTATCTTCATTTTCGCGGTTTATTTTCTCTCTCGGTCGCGCTTACCGTGTACGCCGGGTATAATTATTACCCCGCTCGCCGGCCATTATGTACGCGCGCGCCACAGTCCGCGCGGATCACGACACGGAAATACAATGGGTACAGGATACCCACGTCTCTCGGTGCCGCCCGCAGCTATAGCGTCGTGTTACCACTGCGGTTGCAGGCACACGTCTATCGTTACCCGTTGTCGGTGGTCGTGGTGCGCGGCCCACAGACAATACGCATACGATATCGCGTGTACCCCCAACGCACGCACCGTTCGCCGCCGGATGGGTGACACGCGTGTGTCGCAGTTTGTACCCCGCCGGCCATCGGCGGACATCGGGTGTGTGTGTGTGTGNGGGGGGGGGGGGGGTGCTCGAAGGATCAAAGCCTACTCAAAACGTGTAAACAAAAAATTAGCCCCCTCAAATTTAGTAATTAGTTATGAGTAATCGGTAATTAGAAGGGGATTGATTTCTCCGTTTTCGAGCGGGCTTAGACCCTTCAAGTAGGATATTTCCGCTGATTTCCCGCCCGTTATTTTTAGCGTGTTTTTTTTTTTTTTTTTTTTAACCAGGGATGAAACAAGCGCATTTTAATATAAATACACTGCAAACATCATATTGTAATTATTACGTACGGTGTTCCGTGTTTCGTTTGTTTTATCTAACGCACGCACAACTAATGTAGGCACTCATAACGTACACCGGTCCAGAAAAGAACAAATAAAGAAAAAGAACCGTATAAATTATTAAAAACTATAATATCATCGTTATTTTATAATATAATAAATAAGACACTTCCGCTGCAGTTATTCGACGATTATATTATATTATACGATACACGTGTGTATATTGTGTAATACACAGTTGGACGTAGATTTAAAAACTTATCGCTCCTTACTACAAATACATAATAGTATACACGTCATAAATATAATATTATATTATAATAATGTAGGTATATGTTTATATATGTGTTTTTTTTTTTTTTTAAATTGTATAAAAACAAATCATGTACCGGTATAGGTCTAACAAAAAGAAATAAAAAGGTAAACATGCAATTTTTCAACCTTAAAACCATTGCAGCGTATAATAATAATAATAATAATAATAATAATAATAATAATAATAATAATAATAATTAACGACTATTGAGATATTAAATACTATATAATATACGTACGCGTATTACAAAAAAAAAATAAAAAAAAAAAATAGGGTCGTTGGTCGTCGTTCGAAACCGGAATGTATACCATCATATTATTATCAAACACGTGAATTATAACACATTATGCTTTTCGAATATTGTTCAACTATCGCGTGTTTCCTTTACAATTATTTAATAAGCGTTTTAATCTGTACGCCCGACGATTGCCTACAAAATATTTAATATTTTTAATAAATAAGTACGTAACTATTAATTATGTACAACAGCGCAAGTAGTATAGTAAAGTGATTCGTAAAACAAATTGCAAGTGAACAATAATAATATAATAATATAATAATATGATAATATGATAACTTATTGTACGCACGAAAGACGTTCTCCGGCGGGTTAGAGGGGGGGGGGTTGGATGAGGGGCGGAAAATAATAAATAATTCGAGAAAACAATTTCGGGGTTCGCGTTTTTAAAAAAGTATTGAAATATCGTTTATTTTTCATCGAAATCCGAACGTTTCTGTAGTGTCAACAGTATAATAGAACCATATACTATAGACAGCGATAGGTAAGCGACGGAGAACGCCGAATAAATAACAAACAATAAACAAAACAATGATAATAATAATAATAATATAAATTAATCCGGCGCACAAACAACGCGTTTCGGCTGCAACAGTTGACCGGTGACGATCGTTGTTTGCACGCGCGCGCGCACGAATAATAATAACTTAATAATTATAATAATAATGATAATCAAATAATAATAATAATAATAATAATAATAATCAAATAATAATAGTTAAATAATAATAATAATTATTTACGAACAAACAATATTATTTTTGTACTTTGAAAAAAAAAAAAAATAAAAAAACAAACAAACAAAACTATTCGTCGCCCGCGTCGTTGTACCGGTTGTTATTAATGTTAGACAAAAGCGTTGAAATCTTTTTGCCAGTCTCCGTGGAGACCCAAACGGTCCCGCGCATTATCATTCTATTATAACGTGTACACGTTATAATATTATTATTGTTGTTCTTACGCCGGGAAATCGGTGTTTTTTTTTTTTTTTTTTTTCGTAATAAAATTAATTAATTGACAATTACATAGACAAGGGGGGGAAAAAAAAAAAAAAAAAAAGGATGAAACAATCGAACGGTTATTAATCTTTGGTCAACAAGTGTGCAGCACTACAAATCCTATTAATCGTACGGCGATTACGCGTTTTTTTTTTTGTCTATTGCGAAACGTATTACAATAATGACCGCGGTCCGTAATGCGGCATGAGCACGTGTCTAGGTATTATCGTATTATAATATTATATTTGGTACCTGTACGGGGAGGGGGGGGCTGCTGCTGCTGCTGCTGCTGCGTGAGTGGCGGAGAACGACGCCCCGCTTCGTCAGTCCCTGCCGCTCCTTTTGTGTATCTGGGCGTGTTTGATGAGATGGGCTTTCTGCCGGAACGCCTTCTGGCACACTTCGCACCGGAACGGCTTCTCGCCCGTGTGGGTGCGCAGGTGCACTTTGATGTTGCTCTTGTTCAAAAAGCCGCGGTTGCATATGTGACAGTTGTGCACGGTCCTCTCCCTGGCCACGTTGCCGTCGGAACAGTACACCACGGTATTCCTGGCGGTCGCGCCGCCAACTCCGCCTGCGCCTCCGCCGCCGCCGCCGCCGCCACCTTTGGCCTTGCCGCTCCTGTTCCGCGATTTTTTCGTGGTCATGTGCGGTCCCTGACCGGGCGTGGTGGTGTGCGCGAACTCCGGCGGCGACGGCCGCGAACTGTGCACGGACGGCATGTTGTACCCTCCGAGGTCGGTGGTGCTAACCACGTGACTAGTTGGGCTGTGCGCCAGGTACGACGGGGTGGACGACGACGGTGACGACGCGCAGTCCATGTGATAGCTACCGGCGTCCTGGAGCGGCGCCTTGTTGGCCGGCCCGTTCTGCAGCCTGTTGGCGAGTAGCGGCATGAACGCAGCGGCCGCCGGACGCGGCGCGGGTGGAGGCACGTTGGACGTGACCAATTCGCGTGGTTGCGGCTGTTGATACATTGACGGTTTTTGCATGGGTGGCGGTTGTTGGTGATAACTACCACCGCCGGCATTGCCGCCACCGTTGCCGCCACCGGTACCGCCGCCGCCGCCGCCGCCGCCATTCGATATGCCGGGAAACTGTGAGCTGGCCACCAAGTCTTGTATGGTGACGTCGGCCAGTATGCCGGTCTTGTTGTCTTCCGGCGAACCGTTGGGGTGTTCGTACGACGGCCATTCGTCGCCGACGCCCAGCCACTCTTCGGGTCCGCCGTCCACCACGGTCGGGTGATGTTCGCCGCTGGCCGACACCGTGGTGTCCGGCCCGAACGACGGGCTGCCCATCAGCATTTCGAACTCGTCGAATTGGTTGTCGACGAACGTGTCTTCTTCTTTGAATTTACAGATCAGCCCCGCTGTGTTGGTGGACGACGTAACGAGGTATTCGTTGTGGAAGTACATGTTGTTGTTATTGTTGTTGTTGTTGGCCGTGGCCGAATTGTTGTTGTTGTTCTCGGCCACCCGATTGTTGGACGCGATCGACTGGTAGTGGTGACCGGGTATGCCGTTGATGTTGACGCGCTCGGTGATCGTGTGGAACGGCATTAGCGGCTTGAGGTCGGCGAAATTTGCGGTCGGCTTGGTGTTGGGCTGATCGGCTACGCTGTTGGGCTGTTGCTGCTGCTGCTGGTGGTGGTGATGATGATGACCGTGATGGTGGTGTTGCTGTTGCGCGGACACCACGATCGGTGAACAGTCAGCGGCATACTGATCGCGCCCCAGTAGGTCGTCCAACTCAGCGGGGTTCAATATGAATTTGGTGCCGTCCTCGTCCAAAAAGTGTTCGTTGAACATTTCGACCATGGAGTCGGTAGTTCCTTCGTTACCGTTGGACAACCGCATTACGGGGTCACCGCTCGTCTCCGCCCTCAGCCACTCGGGATCCAGTTGGGGTGGTTCTAAATACTCGCCGCCCCAACAGACACTATCATCCAGCACTCCTGCAACAATAAAACCGACCGCCGGCACGTTAATAAAAATATCCCTCGCGATAATGCGACACCGTATATGGGTACACACGTGCGTATACCGTTGTCGGTGATTGCGCGTACAATGAATCTATCGACATATGCATTATATTGTCGCGATATACCCGCGAAGATATTGTATTGTAATTTTAAGAACACAAAGAATATCCGAGTCTACGATATTTGAATCTTTTACAGTAAGAAATAAGGAACTCGAAACTTCCACTTTGTCCAGATATACGTGTACATCGGCGCTTAACATTACCCGTCAAACTTCTAGCACGATTCCTTAAAAAAAAAAAAAATAATAATAAAAGCGAACAAAAGTTGAACGTCGAGAGTTGAGATGCAGACTAAAACGTAACCTATATATATATGAGCAGCAGATCGTTTAGCGTTTGTTAATAGTAGATAAATTATCGGAAAAAAAAAAAAACCGTAGTAGTGATGTATAGCTCGGGCGTAACTCGCGTACAAAAAAAAAAAAAAAACATATGCAAATCTAGTGCGGCCCGGTCGGAGAAAATTCTCTAAAATAGATGTTAAAAAAATAATAATAATAATAATAATACGATCCGTCGTTCACGATACGTTTGTCTGATGTTTGTACCTACTCGACTTGACAATGCGCGCGACACGCTGAAATACCTAACAATAATTTGCACGCGTTACGTTCGGATATTGGTACACATCGTCGGGTACGCGCGTCATCGTTCGATCTCATCGATCTCCGTTTTATCCGGACCTTTTTCTCGTCGCGCACCGGACGAGATAATCCCGAAAAAATTATAAAATGTACGCGCACAATATGTTTTACATTCCGGCGTGTTGACCGCGAACCGGGCTGAGGCGTTCGAAAATAATTTTCAAAACGCCCCGACGCCCGGACGAGCGTTTTTACGGTGCGCGTTTCTTTGGCCCGAATAACCTATCTTGCCTACTACCCTCTCTACCCACTACACCCGCCTTACCCGCTATTCGAATATCCGCGATCCACGTTTCTTTACACGTACACGTACCTACTGTACTGTCCAGACGACTTTATTGACCGAGTATTCATAAAACGTATGTAATCGAGTATCAGCTCCGCAAAACCGTCGAAAGAACTCATCAAATATATATTATTATAATATTATACTAAGATTTAGCGTCTCGTAGAATTTATCTCGCGAGTCGCAATAAAAATGAATATTTAAAAACCGTCGAGAGTACAGAAATCTAAATACTATTCGTATATGAATATCCGAAAGGTAACGAACATTCGGATTTGTCAACTATCCGGGTATCGGATTCCGGTTGTTCGAATATTAAAAAAAAAACCGAACATGTGAACCAACGTTACTGTATGTAGGTATTGAAGAAAAAATATTTGATCCCTGTTTTACCCTTGTTTGATCACGAACCAAATTGGATGACGTCATAATTTATAATGATTGATGATTAATGATAATATTTTATACTGTTGTATTCGCAATTATACTAATGTTCACTTAAGTTTTAAATAAAAACAGTTTATAATATTGTACAGGGTACTCGCTGCTGGAATTGTATACAAAGGAGAAAGCACATTTTTATCGCTTCTTCTTATTGTATTTATTACTTTTTTTTTTTTTTGTCCACTGATCAGGATTGACAATAATACAAAATCAATAAACTGGTGGTGTGTTTTTTTTATATATTTGTATTTTTTTTTGTATTTATAATTTATACAATCGAAGAGGAGAAAAAATCGTTCAACGAATCATATAGTTTACGTGCGGTATGTTTTCAAACGTAGTTTTACAAGATACATTAGCGACAATGTATAAATCTTCTATTGGAGAATTGTATACATTTTATTAAAAAAAAAAAAAAACCGATGTTCTTTTATAGTAACGACGCACTAAAAATGTAGGTGTTTGTTAATATAAGTGTACATAATACGAAACAGAATATAAAAAATGTTATCTCGAAATCTCGACTCGTTTCAACTAATATTAGGCGAGTTTTAGATTCGACATTTTTAGACATAATGTACGCGTAAGGCGAAGAAGCTATTTTACTATAAGACATGTGTTTTTTTTTCCGATTTAATTTAAATATTAAATAATTATGATTTTCGATAAAAACGCCATCCCGGCTTTATCACGCCGTAAGAATACCTCGAAAGATGCGGATTTTCGCCCGGCGATATTTTATTTGAAAACAATTGATTTAACCGTATACACGATAAATATCAGTTTACACCGGGGTTCGCTCAGATTTGGTTTTCGATTGTTATCGTCGCTATCGGCGTACGAACTAAACTGTACCGCCCTTTTCACCACCATCGTTCATACATAATATCATCCGAACTTCCCGCCTACAATGTCAATCGCCTCAGTACACATGGTGCGAACTATGATGTGTCCGACTTTTTTTTTTTTCGTGAATTTAGTCTACTGACCCGAATAGAATACAACGTTGAAAACTACAATATTTAGACTGATTATTATTTTTACATTATCATAATAATGTGTTAATTATAATTTATAAGGTTCGCATTATCAATACAAGTATAAGGATTTATAATTATATATAGGCACTCTAAAAAGTAGGTCTACCGTGGAAATTAAATTTATTCAGGCGTGAAAAAAAAAAACAACAAACTAATAATCTTGTAATACGCCATAATAATAATAGATGTAAATAATTATTATTTGAACTAGATTTAAGTGCCGAATACAACGCACATAATAATTATACTATATTATTTCGATTAACTACAATATTGCATTATTGTATTTTTTTTTTTTTTTTATATACATATAACGAGACAACATCCGATAAGCCAAAGGGGTAGGCATACGGAAAGAAAAAATAAAAATTCACCGAAAAAATACTACCCACCCCTTGCCGGCGGTTGTTTGATTTTTTGTATTAGACAAATTATTGTACACTGGCATTATAAAAAGCTTTCGTCCGCATTATAATTTAAAGGCGTTACGGTTTTTAAAGGCATTTGCGATTTCAATATTTACGCGTATTATAGCTCCACGAATCCTAATGTCTGCCTACACACAATATGAATAGTTTAGGTTTTTTGAACGGGGCTAACACATCGGCCGTTGTAACGTAATAACGTTTGTATTATTTGTATTGTTATAATTATTTAGTTTTATTGTTCTATAAAATACTCACTTCCAAGAGTCGGTCGGAATTTGCGGTTTGCGAGGACTGACACGGTACAGCTTGTCGTCGTCGGACGATTTCATCTCGACCGATGAATCACCGACATCAACGAAAATCGCATAATACCAAGACTGTTGGCTATAGGGTGCGACAATTCTAGTCGTCGGCGGCGGTGACCACGGTGATGTTGTGCTGTTCACAGCAACGTCGGACGCTGTGCGACAGTTGCGGTAGTTGCGGTTGTGATTAGTGTAACGGCGATCGAATCTTACCCTGAAGTGCAGCAACACAGACAGCAAGACACAAAAACAGAAAAAAAAAAAAACACAAATATGTTATGATAATTATACAAAAAAAAATAAAAAAAAAATACGCGTTTCGAGAGAAAAACAAAAAGCAAGCGTTAGTTTCTGCAAATATATACATATATACATATATATATAATCATTATTTTACAATGTTTTACGAATATATTAACTGTGTAATGTCGTCGCTTAAGAAGCAACACGGCGTGTATCGTTTTTCTCGGCTTTACGCGGGAGAGCACAAAAACACCACACATAATAGGCGACGTCTCTCATTTTCGTAAATTTTCATCTACGCGTGTACACATAGAACATTTCAAGGTGACATCTATCTCGAAATGTTTGGATACCGTACTGTTGGTTTCCTCCGGACACGTTTAAACACAACAAACGGGTTGATCGCGAGAGTCTACACGAAACCGTGTGGTCGACTCGATTGGACCGAAATACGAGATAAGCGGTGTTGCTCCTTGCTAAGCGACGATATTTACACACAAGTGTTTAAGTAATTTATTTGATTTACAAGAGTATTACAAATATTATTCGAAATGCTATTAGTTTTTTCAAATTATTTCAAAGGCAAATTACTTAATAAGATCAATAATGTACAATTTAAAAAAAAAAAAAAACATAATGTAATTGTTTGTTTGCAAAGCCAAAGTTAATTATTATATGATAGGTACAATAATGAATTGCAAACTGTCGCAATAATTGTTGTACGCGAACCTGGCGGGCGCATCAAGATGGGCAATTGTTTTTTAGGGGAGGAGTACATTTTATTGAAAATTATCTTAACATATTGGTAACAGAAATCGCGTGTAAATATATGAAAATCAGACAATCGTTTCAGAGCGGGTTTTATTTAGAAAAATATGTAATAATTTCGGCCACGATTATCGTACGATCAGTGTATACCCCACAGTGTACTGCGTGGCATCATTGAAAAGAAAGAACGTACAAATAGCCGTTTTGGTTTTCTATTCGACTCGGGCAACTTGGATAGTTGTTTGTCTACGTGAAAAATCATTGAAAGTATTATAATTTTTCTGGAGTTACCGAACACATATCGTTCATCGAATAAGTTTCAAAAGACCAACATTCCATCACTACGATTCGATTATGAATCTTAATGAAATAGTTTTAGGGCGTGAAATGTTGCCCCCTCCCCGTTTGTCGACTCTTGATGCGCCGCTACACGCAATTGGTCAGGTATCAAAAGCAGTAATAATACACGAACAATACGTTTTCGTTTTTATTTAATCGAAATAACGTAAGAAATAAACTCGTTCGATACTCGACCACTTAAATATTTTTCTACAGCCGTTTAATGCTTTTGACCGGAATCGGATTATAATAATACTACGCGTTTTTATTATTTTGTCTACATAATATAATTTCCATACGTTTATCACGTAAATCGAGTTTCGCGCACGAACCTAATACTATTATCGATAATTGTCATCTTAATAATATTAGGTATTATAAAACGGCGATTGTCGAAAATTCGTATTTTTGTGCAATCCACTATCGAAGGCCGTCCGAGTATGGGAATATGACCTACACACGGCAATACTATAAATACGAGTATGATACCCGTCTGCAGGCATATACGAGACGAGATCACACTGTTATTGTTGGTGTGATTGTCTCTGAAAATCTGGCAGCGAGATCCGCGTGACGTTTAAATTGTCACGGTGTTGGTCGACGACGGTTCCCGTGGGGCGCGGACGGGAGTCGATTGCCGACAATAATTCGACGGTAGCGCGCGCGGATTCCGTACGAAATCGCACAGAACGGTCGCCGTGAACGGAATCCGCGACAATAACAGCGTAATACGCGCCTTTGTGACGCGCGCAGCAGCAGCACAAATACGTACCCCGGGCACAGTCGGCGACCGAACAGATTTTCGTGTTATTGTCGTTGTTACGATTGTTTGGTGCACCGTTGGGCCGGCCATATTATTATTATTATTATTATCGTCGTCGTCGGAGGAGGAGGAGGAGGAGGAGGAGGAGGAGGAGGTGGCGGCGATGTCGGACGGTACGCAGCAGCATGAGCTGGTCGAGACGCTCTCAAAATCCCGCGCGCGTTACAAGACGGGTACGGTTAACGCGACGCACGTTGTCGCGCGGACGGCAATACCGACGACAACCGATACGCGCGTAACGATGTAACGCGAACCGAAAGGTCTTGTTCCCGGTGTCCCCGTGGAAGCGCGAACGCGTTATGCGATTGTCGTTGCACAGGCACGGTGCGTGCGCGTACATCGTTATTGTACATTGTTATTGTATTTTATTGTTATCGCGTCGCGCGTGTTATTGTCGTACGGGCCGTGCAAACCGCCCGCCGCGTTCGCGCGGGACGTGCGCGACAAACGCGTCCGCGCGCAGGTAAGCAGGGCGCGCACGGGCCACGACAGGTACGCGATAGGCGCCCGGCGCGTTCGTTTAGGGCGCAACGTAGAGGTTCGTACGGCGGGCGCGTAGCGGTCGGGTCGTGCGGAAACCCGCCGCAAACGGCGACAATAATAATAATAATAATAATAATATTATCAAATAGACCAGAACAATGTACGCACCGGTCGACAGTACCGATTTACGCGTTGTTGGAAAATAACAACGCAACAACAAATAATATCGCACGGGGGGCACGCGCATTATTATACACCCGCCCGTTTTCGCCGCGGCGGGTGTCGCGGACAGGTACGCACGGCGTCGCATTATCGCGGCGCGAAACATTTTCGCCGTTATTACAACAGTATGCGCGGCGGCCGGCGTATTACGCCCTTGAAACGGATAACAAGCGAGGAGTGAGTAAGTGCAACACTCGTACAACAGCCGGCAGACACGCCGTGTATAAAATATTATCTGACGCCTCAGCGCGCGATCCTGCTGTATATTATTATCAGAACAGTTTATTTATAGCCGAGGACGGGCATTGACTGCCTAGCCAACAAAATTAATCGTTTAAACTCGACCGGTTTAAGAGTGCGATCTTAAGATTGACTCTGCACTGCGGCCGATTTCACATAAACGTCCCGTTAAACTAACTCCGAGTCGGGGACTGATGATTTTTTTCGAAATCCGATAATATTCGATTGTTATTGACAACACGGTTGATGTCGATTTTTTTTTTTTTTTTTATTAAAATTACATATTTTTTTTAAATTTTAACTTAAGTGTATAATTTTTATTACGGTTCGATTTACTTTTTAGGTTAACTTTTAAACGTAGGGGTATTTTGTTGGCTCGACTTAATCGAATCTATCGTTTTCGTTAACTTGCCCACCTTTGCCTGTGGGTAGGTGCGTGTACAATAGTCGAGTCATACCGGGCGGTAAGCCGACACGTATCCGCCTATAATATTATCGGCAGAAAAAACCGTTTCGCGGAAAAAGAACAAAAAAAAAAAAAAAACGAAACGCTAAAACAAAAATGTTCGCGCATCGGTGCGCATCTCGTCGCATCTGATGTGTGCGGGCTCTATAGATTATTATTGAAATATTATTGTTTCGTCGATAAGTCCCCCATGAATTGGCGACCCAGTTTCCCGCCAACGGATGTACAACAATAATATAATACAGGCGAATACTCGCGACGAAGCGTATTCGTAGACCCTAACCGAGTGATATCCGGGCCGAAACGCGTAACCCAGTTAGTTTTCGGAGGTTTCGGGTATTTTACATAGCGCGTATAGCCGAAATTGACGAACCCGACGCTCCGAGGAAGCGAATCTCCCGAATCCAAAAACCTATCCGATCTCGAGTCGGCGAAAAATCACCGACGGGGAAAAATATTAAACTTACCCGTCGGTCCTACGAACCGTAAACACAATATTATAAATAAAATACCCACAGTCCTATATAGTCAGATGATATATCACGACGGGTCGCGTATATTTACACAATACCGTTTGGGTCGGTGGGGGGGGGATGAGGGGAGGGGTGTTGGCCAGACGCCCGGTCGGATAGGAGACCTGTACCCATGCATGTACACACGCATGCAATAAACACGCCGTTTTTCTGCACAACGGGTCGCATCCCGGTTACAATGACTGCAATAATAATACAATTATTTTTGTATACAATATCGCGGCGATCCCTAATTTTTATTTTATCGAAATTTTACACGTTCTTTCCATTCGAGAATTTGTAACGGTACGCGGGGATTACGCCGCGGCGATAATAATAATATTGTATTGCGTACCTGCTGTACGCGGCTTTTGGGGTGGTCTTTTACTATTGTTATTGCGCCGGGGGTGCGGGCGACAACATTACTCCCGCTGCGCTCGTATACCATAAAACCTGCGCTGCTACTACTTGCGCTTGACCGCGCGCCCGCGCGTATCATTGTGTTCGGTGTACACACATAATCCGTAACGGGACAATTTGTCGGCGATCGTACACCTCTACGCCTACCCACTGTGCGTGTACAGTTGTCGCAGAAGGACACACGAGGTAGGAAAAATTGTATATATTTATATACACAAGAGTGTATAAATAACAATTCAATTTTATACAATATATACGGTATATTTCGCGGCGGAATCGTCGAGAATTCCGACGGAGACACACCGGAGACCTTAAGCTCTCGGGCGGTGTAGAAATTCCGCGCGCACAGAGAGAGAGAGAGAGAGAGAGAGAGAGAGGGGGGGGAAGAGAAAGAAACGTCTAAAACGTGTCTAAGGCCGCGCGCGAGCAGATTCCCAAGGCTCAAAGGGGGCGCTATGTCTACAATCGCAGCACCAGCAACGGCACAAAGTTACACGCTTCATGCGCA